AGCGAATATTCGGTACAGCCCTAGTTGCAAGTAAGGTACATTCAAGAAAGAAGCATTAGAGCTGATATAATTAATGCTGTCAAGAATAGACTAGTGGAACAGTCAGTACCCTGAGATGGAAGCTGCATCAGAAGGCTAAGCATGTGTGAGAATGCCAACTGTTTCCTGGGATAGCTGCTGCATTGGAGGACTAAGCATGCGTGGGAATGTCCACTGTGATAACAATACAGAATATAGTATAACATAACCATGAATGGAAGACAGCCGGATACAAATGCAAGTTCAGTTCATTACACTGACTTTTGACTTAAAGATTAGGAATGACACTCCAACACCAAGAGAGGGATAAAGAGATGATTTTTTCTTCTTCTTCTTTTCATTTCCCAAATGGTACATATGTGTGTTCAGAGGCTCCAATGTGTAAAATGCTACTAATGAAGCTCTTGCTGAAACTGGAAGTGTTGGGCCAAATGGCTGAAATATCATAGCCTTGTACACCACCATGCGACCATACTGTAAATGTAAAATTTTCTAATGCAGCACAAAACCTAAACCAACTCCAAGCAAGATCTACCAAGACTTGTTCAGAATTTAACAGTTACTGATGTCTGCAGGAGAAGGCAGTTAGCGACCTGCCAACCTTCTTAGTTCCTTCTCCTGACATAGAAGGTAAATTATAGTGCTATCAGTGGCTTAGGCATTGATAAAGCACTTTGAAATTCTGTACTACCAGGTTCAATCTCAGCTGCAGGTAATCTGACAGCAGACCGCTTTGTATTAGTTTCACCCGTGATATCAGGACTTGATTGCTTAGAAACCAATTTCAAATTAAGAACCAATATCAAACTACTGAATGTAAAACTGCATTGTAAAATCACATAAAAAAAATTAAGGGTTGGTACTGCAACATCCTGTTATGGATATGTGTTGCGTGCTGATTTGGGGAAGCCAATGTTGGGACCAGTGAGAAATGTACTGTCACGGAAGAGACATGGACTCCCAAGAAAGTTGATGTGTGGGCTCACTGAGGGGGGCTGATAGGCATGGCTAACATGACACACATATGAAGAAGCAAGTGTGCAAGCGTGATTCTCATGTAAGCCTGAGCAACCCACATGAGTGATTCTCATGTAGTCTGAGAATGCCCACATGAGCGTGATTCTCGTATAGCTGAGAACGCACACACGAGAGTGAATCTCGTGAAACATCCGCCGCCCACATGGGTCCGGCAAGGATATATTAGGACTGCGTAGTCAGTCAGGGAGTCAGTCAGTATCTCTCGATTTAGTCAGTATCTTTTGAATCAGATCGTGAGTAACTTAAGTGAGAGTCAGACAGACAGAGTCTGTGTACCCGTCTGACAGTGAGGTCTGAGTGAGAGTCTCGGGCACGGTACGGTAGAAGGTAGAGTCCAGCTGGCGAAGTTAGGCCAAGGGGACTGGACGTTCCAATAGTAACTGTTCTGGGTGACGACGCAAAAGAAGGCGTAGGATCATCATGGAAACAGCATTGGGGATGCCGACGAGAGCTGTGTGTTAGAAGGGACTAGTGCTAGCAAGTCCTGTCGGTCATCGGAGTCGTTCGACAGGCTGATTTGCAATGAGCACATGCTGGAGAACGAACTTGAAGTCCGTTTCCAGTCGGTCGAGGTGTCTGCTGTAGTAGAATCAAGGTCCAGTTGATAGGAGAGTTGTTCCTGTTCTTCTGTACAGCGAGCCCAGAGTCGCGGGACGCTGTAGACCTTACGAGCTGTAGTAGGTCAGGGAAAGTCGCTACAAGTTAGGAGAGAGAGAGATTGTCTACATCTCTGAGCATGAAGTATTGTCAGTTTGAGAGCATGTCAATACCCTCTTGTGTTGTACCAATAAACTTGATGTATGCCGGAGCTGACAGCGTTGTGTCTTAACTCAGTGTGTCAAGTGTAAATCTGTACCTGTGGATAGCATTAGATAGCACACAACAATATGCAACAAACCTTTTAAGTAAGACAACAGACACTTCTGTAATTCACATACCCATCACAATTCTGTGTCAGGCAATCATGCCTCTCTTTGGAATGTAGAGTAGAGGTGCTGAACCACACAAAGAGGTGCACCACAGGACAAGGGCTCATACTTATCAAGACCTCTCTAGACCTCTCCATGTTTGTACTCCTACAAACTGGTTTCCAAGCAGAAGGCCTGGCTAGTGCAGACAGGATTAGTTTCTTTTAAATTCAGAGTGCATCTGCCTAAGAGATGAGGATCCAGCAGTCTGCATTCAAGTAAGCTAGATCTGTAAAACAGATGTATACATAACATTCAAGTCCTGAAACAAGACCAAAGTTCAGAATGACCAGGACTTTCTGCCAGAGTTTACAGCGAGAAGAAGAAATCTCCCTTTGAGGAAAACTTCTGTAAGGGAAACACTCTCTTTAGGTTTAAATAAATTGTAACAGATTATAATAAGTCTTTAAACATAAGCATATGCATTTTCATTTCATTTACTAGTTGACATGAATGCTAATGCATCAAAACTACAAAAGTTAAAATTCAGCCTTTCAGAAAATTCACCAACTCATCAACTGGTATTCAAGTTGAATCTGTCTACTTTTTTCAGTGTTACCCATTTGCTTTCAGTATATATTCACACTCAGAATGCAACATGCTTTCATGTACACATTTATAAATGGAATGATATATCTGCTTCTAGTACTTATTCATAGCTCATCATCATCAGAACATAACTCCCACCACAGCCCACCTAAAAGAAGCTTGGTCTCTCTCCAGCTTTCAAGCCTCATGTACTTTCCTGCATAGGTTGGACTAAGTCGCCACCCTTCAAGTCTAAGCTGCGTCCCAAGTCACTGCCACCTGCCACCAAGTCACCAAGAATGCTTTCAAGTTGACCAAGTTAAGTCACACCATGTATCAAGTCATTGAATTTATTAGAAGAAATATAAAGATCAATCAAAAGTGGCGAAAATACAAAACTCTAACTGCAGGTGACAAACTCTCTGAACTACATGTTAAAAAAAATAGAAGAAGTCAAATGCAAAAGCTTGATAAATTGAAAGAGAATATATTCTGTTCTGTTTTATAGAAAAGTTTTACACTGTGATGATACCAAACCTACCTCACAGCCGGTGGACACCAAAAACGAGTCATAACAAGTCATCGAAGCTTTAAGTTATATATTCGGTTACATAAATGAAAAACAAATCTGCTTAAGTATATATTAAAATTTATTCTCATCAAAGGAGCTTATAACACATTTAGCAGTGTCTTCTTCTTCTTTTGGTTCACCAGCTGTAAACTCTGGCACATCTGTTTCACAGATCTGGCTTATCTGTATATAGACTGTGACAATCGACTCTCAGGCAGATGCACTTCAACTTTGAAGAGTACGCCCCTAAAAAATAACCTTTTACGATATTCAATAAATGTTACTCGTCCCATTCTAAACCAATCAACTTACTACAAGTTCACTGACTACTGATTTAAGAATGAACAGCATAACATACCAGACATACCCAAAAAAATGCACTGTCTCCAGCAGCAAACATCTTAAAGTGTAGATACAGTTTCAGCAGCCAATGTCACACTTTTCCACTCAAACGCCCTTTCTTGCTGGTTCCACACTTAATTCAAAATTCATGCAGCCTTACGAATGTTGTTTTGTTTAAAATTGTACCTTCTATCAGCATTCCTTCATAAATGGTCTTTAGAATGTTTGCAGTGTCCAATATATATGTTCCTATTGCTGTCGCTTCTGTAGCCAGAAAAATCCTTTTTCATAACCCCAAGTTGATTACACTGAACATATTATAATACAATCAACAATTACTTATATAGACTCACTTAAATCCAGTGTTTCCCAAAGTCAGCAGTACTATCACACAGATGCTTTTCCTCCTTTTTTTCTTCAAGCTCACCAGCTGTAAACTCTGGCACAAAGTCTGGCTGTACGCCTACTTCTGGATCTGTCTTGATCTAGAACTTAAAGTTTTGCCTGCACATTTGTTTTACAGATATGGCATATATCTGTGCAGACTCTTGGTTCCTAGCATTTTTCAGGCATATTTCCGTCTTCAAAGGAAACCGCTAATTAGTCGACTGACTCTTACAAGATGCTTGTTAGGGAGGCAGCAGATATATTCTTTTTTCCTTCTCACAATGGGGCCCAGAATCCACATGGAGAACATAGATCCAGGAGGAAAAAGTAAGAAAGTTTTGAACAGACAGTTAACTTAGTCCACAAGTATTGACCACATCACCCATCCAGTGCTAATTGTTGCAAAAAAATATAAGTTTACAACAATAGCATAGTTTACCTTTTTTCTATTCCTTCATATACTAAAGCTGATTCTATATAACACGCACTAATTTACCTCAATACATGTATCATTCATGTCCCACTTGCACATATCTTTATACTGTAGCAGAGGCTGATCTTAAACATCTTTCACAAGCACCTTATCTAACAAGATCTGACTTTACATATTTGAATGTTTGATAGCTTCCACATCTGGTACTATTAGACCAGACCAGACCAGACCAGAGAGCAAAACAGAGGCTAAAGAAGAACAGTAAATTAACAATGAACTGGTGTTGGTGGTCGTTACTGGGTGAGGGTTACATTGAAAAGAGGATCCAAATACTCATGGACTGGATGGTTCTCACTATGTGGGTGCCAGGTTCCTATTTTAAGGGCAAAAAGGAATGAGCATGCTGTAAATCGACTTATTACGGGTTTGTTGGAATCAGATCAGTTGGGCCAAACGGCACAGATATCACAGCTTAGCCATAAACCACAACACAATATGCCAACTTTCTTTTTGAGGACAAACAGTGAAAAATAAGAAGAAAAGTTCAACTGAGGATCATTTGCTGACTAACAAAGAATGTTGCCTGAGAAACAATGAACTGAAACAGTTTGGGAATCACTGGTCTTGACCACATATACAAGAACAAACACAACATAATAACAATGCCACTCAAGAATAATGTCACATCAAACAACTAAACTTCCTCTGCAGTGAGTTCCACTTGGGGATTTTCAATATCAGCTTTTGACTGCACCAGACGAAGTTCCAGCTGTTCCATGTTTGGTTTACCATCTGGTTCAGCGAGTCCTGGCAACAGAATGTAAGAAAATGAAGTCAAGGAAACCTTCCCACACCACAAGACAGTGGTTCTCAACTAGCTAAGACATGTGGCCCCAACTTATTTTTTAAAGGTCTGCAATGATGGTCTGACCTTGATACTCTGTCATACTGAAGAACTTTTAATATTTAATAAATATTAGAAAATATTGTAATATTGTAAAAACGGATTATTTCCTAAAGTTGAGAGTTTTTGCATATAATATCAGACCCCTCAAATTTGTTCTGTGGACCGCCAAGGGACCACTAAATAGGAAAGACTCCTACATATAAGGCACATTGTAAATAGTTAGGTTACTCCAAAAAGTTTCTAGCTTAAAGTACACAATTTCTTCTTTCCTTCTTCTTCTAGGAACTGTGGCTAGGTGCCAATCTGCCAACTCAAAGGTCTAGAGTTCAAATCCACACCAAAGTGGATTTGAAAAAACCAATAACCTTATCTTGGCCTCCAGGTCAACCTAGTCAAAAATTAGAATCAAGATATATCCTAGGAAGTAAAGCAACTGGTATAATGATGTATACATCACCCACTGAGAGCCGAATAATCTATAACAATATAGGTCTAGCAATTTATGTCTGACATGCCAAAGATGTGAAAAGGGTCCATTACTTACTTACTTTTTCTTTTCTCTTTCAGCTCCCAAGGGAGCACAGACCTCAACCAACTCATGCCAAGCCTAGTGTGGACATGTTCATTATTGGTAGTATTTTGTAGCTGAAGTTGTTTACAGGGAGATGTTGTAATGCTGGCATAAAGGTCTTCAGAGTGAAACTACAATGGACATGTAGACTGGCTTGGGTCACTATCTCTGAAGGTTAATTAACGGATGAAGCTGACATTATGAATGCCCTTAGCTGCTGTGATGCAAGAACTTTCAACTGCACGAAATCACAGTCAATAGATTGCACAGGTTTTAAATGAAGAGCAGCTGCCCAAAAATTTGTAGCCCAGACACAGGCTTACCAATCACCACTAAACTTGTGTACTCATCTCTCGAGTGTACAACTGTCTGTTTCAATTCGTACTGACCTCTTGCATGTACAATTGTTCGTTTAATTACAGTCTGTACCACAGCAACAGTCTTCTCTAGGGCAATCTGATGAACAAACAACACAATCAAATCTTCACCACACAATCCACCACACAGTAACTAACACTCCACCACACAAACATGCAGTAACTAATTCTCTACACACAATAATAAAATAAGCAACTCTCTACCATGCAAATCATAAAATAACCTACTATCTACCATGCAAATCATAAAATGACCCATTCTCTTACTTGGCAAATCATAAAAAAACATACTCTCTACCATACAAATCCCAAATTAAGCCACTCTCTACCATGCAAATCCTAAATAACCCACTCTCTTAATACACAAATCATGAAATAACCCACTCCCTACCATAAAAACAATACAAAAATTTTTTTTTCTCTACATAAATCATGAAATAATCCCCTTTACCGTACAAATTAAATAATCCAATCCCCATCACACAAATCATCAAGAAATAACCAACTTTCTACCACACAAATAATTAAATAACCCACTCTCTACCATGCAAATCATAAAAAATAAACAACGATCCCACCACACAAATCGTCAGGAAATAACCCAATTTCTACTGCACAAATCATCATAAAATAACTCCTCCAATACACAATTAAGAAATGATCACTTCTCTACCACAAATATCATTTGGAAATAATTTTATTACCACCACAAATCACTGTGAATAACTCACTCTCTATGGCACAGATCACAATAGTTAATTCATCTTACAAAATACAGACACAACTCACTTTTAAATCCTTATGCTTGTCCATAAAAATCAAGAGAGCTGATGCAAACAGGTCTCCGGTCCCAACAAAAATACTATCAATGATTGGAATTTTGAGGCGGTAGCGCTTGGACACTTTATCTAGTGAAAAAATTTGTAAAAAAAATTAATACACATCTGGCTTGGTGAAGGAATAATCTCAGAGGCTTGAGGTCAGGGCTAGTGTGTAGAGCAGATAAGCAATGAACCAGAATGACTCAGAACACAATGCTGAGAATCACTGAATGCCCTAAAAGAATTACAATGTTTGTGTGAATCACATTTCCTAGTTCTTTGCAGTTAAACTTTGGTACATCCACCAGTACTTCTCAGTTAAACTCTGGTACACCTACCAGTACTTCTCAATTAAACTCTGGTACATCTGTCAGTACTTCTCAGTTAAAATCCAGTGCAACAACAAGTACTTCTCAGTTAAACTCTGATACATCTATCTGTACTTCTCAGTTAAAACTGGTACATCCATTTGTACTTCTCAGTTAAACTCTGGTACATCCATCTGTACTTCTCAGTTAAACTCTGGTACATCCATCTGTACTTCTCAGTTAAACTCTGGTACATCTGTCTGTACCTCTCAGTTAAACTCCAGTACATCCACCCGTACTTCTCAGTCAAGGTTCTGTGGAGACTAGGAGTAAAAAGGTTGTTGAAATTGAAAAAAAAAAGCACTGCAGTGATTTTGGTTATAGGCTTAAGGTAAGTTAAGGCTGTTTTGCTGCGTATAAGGAGATACTCCGAACCTCACATCAGGCACCAGCTGGCTTTACATATCCTCATGCAAGACTCCTGCCACATGTCCTCATCATGCATTATGGATAAAGGGTCATACTGGCCTAAACCGAGCTGGCAGGCAATCTCAGAGTTGGTGGTCCTCCAAGATGTTGTGTCCAGAAATCCTCTGGCTCTCATCAGCCCACCCCCAATGCATCGGTGACAATGTCCATCAAAAACTTATTTGGAACATAAGTGAAGCTTATGTTACGAATATCCTACTATATGACAAATCTTGGTTCAAACGTTTGTTGAGATAAAGTGCTACTAAATTGTTGTGAACTGATAAGACTTGGCCCTGGGCCATGCGATTTGCTTGCAGCTTAGATTAGCAATATTTCACGTGTGCGGCATCTCATATCCCACTGCATATGTTCGACCATCGAATGTCCTACTGTGTGACAGACAACGTTCAAATGTCCAATACAAGTGGCCCGATTTTCCGGAGTGCCGGGATCAAATAGGGAAGTCATGCTTGATGCATGCTTTTTCAATTCTATTGTGCTAAGTGTCCCCATGCAACAATGTTAAAGGTGTCTAATGTGCTGATGGAGATTGTGTTCATTTATGTGGTCATCAAAGTCCCAGACCTGCAGGCTGCTTCCGTAGACAGGTTTCACATGTCCACTAACACTGACCCAACTCATGAGTGCTGAAATCAAATGGAAATGCCTAAAAAATGATTTTTCGAAATTGCGATGCTAATTGTCATGATAAAACAATGTTAAAGATGTCTAACGTTTTGAAAGAGATTGTGCCTATTTGTGTGGCCAAGCAAGTCCCAGACTTGTGGACTGCTCTCTAAATCTCCAAAGAGTGCAGCCCAGGACCAGAGTGCCATGTGTCAGCTCTGCATTTATGGAAGCCTTCTCGGATGGTGGGGAATGCTCATGATCTGCTCCTGCCTTCCCTGAGGGCCAACAAGTCCATAATGTGGTGGCCCTGGTTGGATTCTCCAGGGGCAAAACCTGTAGATAAAGAAAACACCACACAAATAAGGCTATGTCACATCCCACAAAAACAACTGGGAAGACTAACCCGGCGAACGAATGCCCAATGAAGTCAGATGTGTCAGCTGAAAGATGCAAATATCACAGCTATGCTGTAAACTGGTACAATGTGTCACTCAGACCAACAATGAAGTTTAAAAGTTTAAAAAGAAAAAAGACCCCCCCCCCCCCCCCCCCCCCCAAAAGGGGAAAAAAACAGAAGATAAGTACAAATTTCAGCTACATCAAATGACATAAAACTTAAAAAAAAAACTATACAGGAGCAAACACAATTAAGCCAGGCAAGCAAATGTTTACAAAGATAGCCCATTGTGGGTTCCGGGGCCCTATTTTAGATGTAACAAAGAACATAGCCCACTGATGGTTTTGGGGCCACATTTTAGATGTAACAAAGAACATAGCCCACTAATGGTTTTGGGGTCACATTTTAGATGTAACAAAGAACATAGCCCACTAATGGTTTTGGGGCTACATTTTAGATGTAACAAAGAACCGACTCACTGCTCCTTAACAAGCATGTCGTAAAAGGTGACGAATTAAGAATTAGCACAAATCAGATATGGACTGGCAAATGTAAATGGGCTGAGGAAAGGACATCCTAGACAAACCCTAAGACGAACGTTGAGGTGCTGGACTGGATTACATTCATGATACTGAAAAAACTGAAGAGAATCGAAGGAAATGTAAGAACAAACTACGTTCCCCCTACCTATATGATGTATAACTGCACAACAGGATGATGATAATGAAATTATATATATGTTTACACGAAAAGTGTAGCTATTTCAGCGTAACTGTAAACTACAACATGACACACCAAACACTCTTTTAAAAGCAAAGTAAGAAGAAGACTAAAGAAAAAGAATGATGACTGGATAATGAATAATTACTATTTCTTATGCTGGCCAAACACAGCAATGTGTCCTCCCCTGCCAGGTTGCTACTGCTGAGAACCACACTGCCCACACCTCTATCGTGAAGTTTTCCCATCGCTTTGAAAGCTTCATCTTCCGTCCTAACAGGCAACTGGGTCAACTGTCTAGATCCAAGGGACAATTAAAATGAAATGTTAATATCTAATTGCAAGGGCATAAACATAATTCATCACCTAATTAAGTAAAAGCTTTATCAATTAAAAAAAAAACATCTTTTCTCCTTCATCATTCGGAGCCATTGAGGTTCACTGCAGATATTATGCACCTCCATTCATCTCTGTGAGTAGCCTTCTCCTTTCAGTTGGTGACTCCAAGTGTTTGCAGGTCTGCTTCTGTATATTATCTTTCCACAGCTTTCTTGGTCAGCCTTGTGGTCTACTCAAATTCAACACTTGTGTGTATGCAGTTTTTGTCTCTCTATCCGTCATGTTCTCTATATGTCACAATCTTTCTAATCTAGTAGCCCCCCTGATGACAGTTAAATAGTGGTGACTAAAACAGATGATAAATGTCACTTCCGCTTCTCGCTTTCCATCCCCTCTGTTTGCATCTGTGATGGGTCCAAAGATTCATCATAAGACTTTGTCTCTTTTAGCTGTTCTCCAGGTTTCCAAGCCATTTAGCACAACTGGTCTGATCAGTGTTTTATATACTGTAATCTTAATGTTGGCGGCGCCCGTGGCTAAGGCGTTGCGAGTCCGACTCGTAAGCCAGCATACCGTGATCGAAACCCACTGCAGCGTGGATTTTTGTCGTGGTATGGGACGTCGCAGGTCGACCCAGCCTAAAATGGGTACCAGGATGGGCTGTCCTGGGAAAGTAAAGACAGCCGGCGTAATGCTGACCACATTACCCACAGAGTGCTGATGGTCTGTAAAAATATGGGATGCTCTGCCCATATGCCCGATGCGCCGAAAGGCGTGAAAAGGGAACTTTACTTTTTTTTACTTTTAATCTTACTGTTAAGCTATTTTAGCATAGGCTGTAGGGCATAGTATTCCTCATTTCAGATTACATTCTAGATTGTATTTCCACTGTTAACATGTTTGTGTGAGCAGCTGAAGTTTGAAACCAAGTACTTGTACGTTTCCATTCTTTTGATTTGTATACTGGTCTTACAACTTGACGGAGGAATATAGAAATTAAAACAAGAAAAAGAAAAAAATGTCACTACTGTCTGTATGTACCACATTTTAGGGTGGTGTAGACGGGAGGCCATGAGCTTGAGGATTTAGGGCCGCATGGCTAGTGCTGTCAAAATGACTGCTGTACAAGTTTAATTTTGATCTCTGACAGAAAAAACTCCATCACTTCACCAGGTGTCGAACCCGGGTCTCCTGGATAAGAGCCCCATGTTGTAACGACAAAAAAAAAAAAAAAAAAAAAAAAAAGACAAAAAAAAAAAAAAAAAAAAAAAAAAAAAAAAAAAAAAAAAAAAAAAAAAAACATCTGCCAGTAAAAGGCAGAAGAAGCAATAAATGTACTTACTCTAGTTCAAACTGATTTGGTGTGATAATATCAGCCTGTTCAACAATCTGTGTTCTGTAGACTGGCACCAGTTTCTCGCTAACATACTGAAGGAAGGAAGAAAAGTGAGGGGGAAAAACATGTAAAATACTCTGACCATATAAAGAGTCATGGCTTCTTATTAAAGGATGTGCTGGAGAGGAAAAGTGCAAGGGACAATGTTACATGTGGGTGGACTATCAAGAGATGAAGTTGTAGAAATCTGTCTGAGTGCAACATGAGAAAGCAGGACAGATGTTCAATACTCACCTCAGCCAACCTGCAATATGGAAATGACACTTCATGATGATGAGTAATGTAGGCAGATGGATTTGTTGATTCTGCACCTCTTGGCAGTCAACTGATGCACAAGTGAACAGTGGGGAAGCATAAATAGATCATCATGGTCTGGAGAGCTCTGGGAGGGACAGAACAGAGGCACAAATAGATCATCATTTATGGACAGCTCTGGGAGGGAGTGAACAGTGCAGAGGCACAAATAGATCATCATGGTTTGGACAGCTCTGGGAGGGAGTGAACAGTGCAAAGGCACAAATAGATCATCATGGTTTTGACAGCTCTGGGAGGGAGTGAACAGTGCAGAGGCACAAATAGATCATCATGGTTTGGACAGCTCTGGGAGGGAGTGAACAGTGCAGAGGCACAAATAGATCATCATGGTTTGGACAGCTCTGGGAGGGAGTGAACAGTGCAGAGGCACAAATAGATCATCATGGTTTGGACAGCTCTGGGAGGGAGTGAACAGTGCAGAGGCACAAATGGATCATCATAGTCTGCAAAGAATGGTTCAGCAAATAACGATAGAAACACAACAGATGAAAATGGATATGAAGCTGAAGTAACTACATGCATCCCTAAAAGCCAGGTTTTCAGGCCAAGAATAGAGAAACTATAACCAACTTCTCATGGGCACAATCAATAGGGTGGCTGCTGCAGGGGACCTGGTATAAACTCACTTAATGGAAAAGGCAAGAAAGATATTCAATCAGAATGCTAGTGGTACCATCAGAATTGGAAAATTGTGCTGGCTGCTGAAGATGAGGACGGCAAGCTTGAGCAAACAAATTTCCTAAGTGCTATGATGTCAGTTCTTAACTCATTTTAACTCATGTAACAGAGTTTATGAACTCAAGGATTTCGATACATGTATAGGTAATGGACCTTTTCTCCACGCTTTCAGACGTATTGGGCATACAGGGCTAGACCTATATTTTATAGACCAACTGGCACTCAGTGGAAGACATGGTCAACATCATGTTGGCTGTCTTTACTTCCAAGGACTATACCTGGTACCCACTCAAAATTGGGTCGACATGAGGGACTGGGTAATTTTTGAAAAAAAAAGTCTGTTTCTGTCAGCAGCTGAACTCACAACCTTCTTTATGCCATCTACACAAATGAAGGCTGGCTGTAGTGCCTCCACCGCTGTTTCTGGGAATATTACAAGGTGTGGCTCCCAGTTTCTTTCATGGTGTGACTCTCATACCATTGTCTGAAAGTCATAATAATGGTCTTTTTATAAACAGCCTGCTATGATATCAAACTTGAGTGTGAAGGACTGGATAAATACATATTTATATGAGGTATTTCTTGTAATTTTTTTTTACATTAAAAAAAAATAATTTAAAACTAAACTTGAGAGGATTAATTCTAATGCACTGGGTTTTATCCCATATAGCTCAGTCTTTCTACAAATATGTAGGGCAAGTCCAGGATATTAACCCAGGACCTCTCGCACACACACTGAGACTCATACCCCTTGACTAACAAGCCACACTAGAAGAAATAATTTTTGTAAACCTAAATGACAGAAAGAACTGCACATACCAGTTTTCCATTATCACCCATCACAGGGTCACATACTGGAATTGAAAACAAAAATTAATTAATTAATGGACATTCAAATATAAAATAACAGTGAGTCACATTTTTTTAAATTTTGAAAATAACAGAAAGTCAATTATAAAATAACGGTGAGTCAAATATAAATTAACAGAGTCAAATATAAAATAATAGAAAGTCAAATATAAAAAAAACAGGGAGTCAAAAATAAAACAATAAAACATCAAATATATAACTGTGAGTTAAATATAACATAACAGAAAATCAAATTTAAATTAACAGTGAGCCAAATATATAAAAGAATTTGTTTAAATAAACAGCAGGAAGACAAATCTAAAATAACTGAAAGTGAAATATAAAATAAGTTAGCCAAATATAAAAAACAATGACTTAAATGTGAAATAACAGTAAAATATAAAATTATGGGGCTACATATAAAATAACTGAATTAAATATTAAACAGAAATACATGAACATAAATCTACACACAAAAAAGGAAGAAAAAAAAAATCTGCAACACTTACCATATATCAAATTGGGATTCTTCAACTTGAGCTCTTTAACTGTCTCTCCAACTTTCTCTAGGAATGTCTCTGACCCAATGTAACCTGGTTAAAGTAGATGGGAATTAGTGAAACCTGGTGAATCACGTCTGCGCCGTTCTTCCAGGTCAAGATAAACGTTTTTGTAACCAACTTCTCATGGGAACAGTCAGTAGAGATTACCTTGGGGTGGCTGTTGTGTCGGAGGACTGAGCACTCATGGGAATGTCCAAAGTGCAGTGATGTTGACTGAGGTAGCATAACATAACAGATTTAAATTACATGCGTTATTCATCATCATCATCATTTAGCAAGTTTGTTAGTTGCATCACTCTCATGACTGTCCAATTATAATACTCTGTCACCTTGCCAGTTTCATCTAGAATCTAGAATATCATTTAGAATCCTACTGACATCTAGTGCATTTAACAAACTGTTAAACATCTGGAAGTCAAAGTCAAAGACATGCAGCAATAACACAAAACTTAAGACCTTCAACTCTTGTGCGATTCCTGTGCTAACTTATGGATGTGAGAGCTGGAAAGAAACATAGCTCAAGATCACACACACACACACACAAAATTAGACAATTTTAATCTTAGAAGAATATAAAATCTCAACTGGACAGATTTTAGATCCAATAGACAAATAAGACAAGAGACAAAGCAAGATAATATCTTACATTTTTAAAGAAAGTGCCGCTAGAACTACATCAGCCATGCACCAAGAATAGATAAGACAAGACTTCCCCATCAAGTCCTCATATGGACCTAAAGCAGCTGGCAATGAACTGTCAGACATGGAGAGCTATGACCTCTGCCCTATGTGCCGCCCTAGACTCAAGAAAAAGACTAACTAACCACCCTTGCCAGTTTACCTGCTTTATGTAGTTTTTAATGGGCTGAAGTGGCATAACAACTAGAATCTCACCAGCCAGCTCGTAGGTCTTGAGTTTGAATCCACATCGAGTCCGATGTTTTTCAAAAATGACCTAGGCTCCCAGGTCAACCCAGTCTAAAATGGGCATCAGGTAAAGTCTTGAGAAGTAAAGAAGTAAAATGCTGACCCCATCAACCATTGAAATCTAACTAGTCCACACAAATTATGAGTCTGGCATCATATGTTTGATGTGCCACTGGTGTGAAAAGGGTCCTTGACATTAGTTTACTTATTATAAGTTTTTATGCCAAAGAGGCCTCTAATGTCCTTTGTACTGGTGGCACTTTGATGCAGCCTCTAGTAACTATGCCTATTACTTCAGTTTTTCTAAATCCATGCAGTTTAACCCTGACACCCCCGCCAGTTATACGAGGACATAAGAGTGCATGGGCATTTACAGCTCACTCTTCAGGCAGAACAGTTCAAGAAGCCAGCGGTGCCTTCTCCATGACTACCAGCAGCATGACAATGGAGGTGATGGTGGTGACAGAAGCTTTCATGTGGCTGGAATCACAGGACTATTCCCGCGTGTGTGCCGAGTGATTCTTTGAGCATGATCCGGCGGGTCGAGGCAGGCTGGTTACGCAGACAGTGGATTGAGTCATTGCAAAACTCTCCTGTGTGTGCAGTTACCTTCATATTTGTCCCAGGGCATGCAGGTGTTGTTGGTAAAGAAAGAGGTGATAGACCGAAAGGTGCTGCATTAACTAAAGATGGCCGGCAAATGGATCACGCAGATAGGAGTTCCGAGGATTATGGAAGCAATGTGTCCACATCACTGCTAAGAATACGAGAATTGGGAGTAAAGATCGGCACAGCCAGGCATGAGAAGCACACAGCACACTAAGTCTTGTCAACCAGCATAGGACTGCACTATTAACCACACGACGCTGATGAATATGTTGGGGGGGGGGGAGGATCTGAGCACCTATGGATGTGTCAGGAGTGCTGTGAAGATAATCCAACACATAACTCACAAAGAGCATTAAACATTACATGGAATTCATTCCATGGGGCATAGAAAATATGTATTGTGTGACCTATGTCGTGTTCTTGACCTTTATCACTAAGACAATGGAGACAATTTAACCTCAGCATGGCTTTAAAAGCCACTTGGTTCAAAAGAAAACCCACATGACTTTAATAATTAAAAAAAATATATTGACTCCTCACTTTTAAATAATTTCTGACACAAACAATTGTTCACACTGTGATACAAAATCAGGACTGGCATAGGTCCCACTAGGGCTTAATTCTCAAACTACTTCTGGTATGCTAGCAAACAAACCACAAGACAAGGCAAACAGGTAAAAAAGTTAAAAGTTCTTTTTTCCAGAAACAGGCATATAGTACCAGATCTATACATTGATGGACCAAGTGGCTCTTTATGGGTGATAAGGTCAATATCAGACAGGCCACCTTTACTACCCACATTTCCTGATACCCATTTTAGGATGAGTCAACCGGGAACCTGGATTCACTTCAGCAAAATCCTATGTGGCCTGTTCAATCAAGACAAAATAGTATGGTACACATAAAGAAATGTGCTGCAGAGTAATCATCAAGGCTACTGGCCTCCTGATATATGTTTTCTGATGGGCAGATCAAAGAAGAAAAAATCTTTTCTGCGAAGAAAAACAAAAACAACTCTAGTTAAATGTCAAAACAATGCTAGAACAACTGAGTTAAAATGTTACAAAACATAATGACAAGAGAAACTAATGTCATTACCTGTGAGCACATAGGAGAAGTCCAGGAGGTTGTTTATCCTCAAGCCTTCAAACAAGTCTGTTACTTGCTGTGCATCCAAGACCTGGCCTTTCCATTTGCCGTAACCTGCAGTTTTAATGACGAAATATAAAGTTTATATCAGCTTTAAAAAAAGATAATACAATAAATGAACAAAGGGTGTTGTAGTGACAAGTCTTCATCAACAAATAACGAGAAATGAAATAAAAACAGAATAACCAAAAATATGGACAAGAAGGGCTATATTGTGAAACAAAATAAGTAAAAAGCTTAAAAACACTGGGAGAATATAAATAAGCTAAATAAATAAAACAAAATACAAAATTAAATATAGGTGTGCTGAATATGTATCCCTGGAGAACTGAGAACACAAAAACTGAATGAAATGATTTTCTAAGGAGTAATGGCTGGATTAATCACCGTAGCCAGATTTTAAAGCAGTTACTGAAATATCATTTTTGATTACAAAGAGGCTCTCAAACCAGTCTCTCTCCACTTTAATAGTTCTGACCACCAAGTCTTTTCCATTGCCTCTGTTGAGCTTTCTAGTAATATTTTATGTTGTATTTAGAACTTCTTATCAGTCAGCTCCATTGCATTCACCCCTATTTATGTCGTCACTTTAGTTTTATTTACTATATCTAAAACATGTACAATGATTATTTACCTGTTTGATTGGAAAACTGCAAAGAATTAATTGTGCTGACCTCATTTTGTAATAAAAAATTAAATTTAAAAAAAAAAGAGAGAAACAGGGTGTGTACTTGCTCCTATCCTCTTTGGAATATACTTTTCACTTCTTTTGACAAATGACTTTTGAGACCTGGAGTGTGGTATATTCATTCATTCTCGATCTAACGGCAGCCTTTACAATGCTCGCAGGCTGAAGGCCAAAACCAGGATCAGATAAGTACTTATCAGAGAGCTGCTGTTTGCAGATGATGCCACAATAACCACCCACTCAGAGGAGGAGCTGCAATGTTTACTATCTGCCTTTGCTGATGCGTGATGTGAATTTGGACTAACAGTCAGCAAAAAGAAGACAAAGGTTATGGTGCAAGGTGTTAATGACAGACCTACAGTCTACATTGAAGGTGAAGAGCTTGAGACAGTAGACCATTTTACTTATCTGGGTTCCACAGTGAATAGTAAATTATCGCTGGACCAAGAAATCAACATCAGGATAGGTAAGGCAGCAACAACAATGAGCAGATTGACAAAGAGAGTTAGGGAGAACAGAAAGCTCACAATTAAAAACAAAAACCCTTGTCTATCAGGCTTGTGTTCTCAGCACTCTGCTTTATGGCAGTGAAACTTAGTCAACCTATTTGCACCAGGAGAGACGGCTTAATAGCTTTCACATGTGATGCCTAAGAAGAATACTTGGCATTAGGTGGCAGGACAAAATCACAAACACTGAGGTACTGGAAAGAGCAGGTACTACAAAAGTCTTTTCCATGCTCAGTCTACGAAGACTCAGGTGGCTGGGCCACACCTGGAGAATGGCGGAGTCCCTAAGGACATCCTTTATGGTGAATTAACGACAGGAAGAAGATGTCCAGGCTGACCTCTACTACGGTATAAAGATGCGTGCAAGCGGGACATAATTGATACAGGTACTGAGCTGGACTCATGGGAACAAAATGCCATGGACTGTGCTGTGTAAAAAGGGCATATCAGGAAGGGAATGAGAGTAAAGGAAGAAATGATTGCAGAAAGGATGAGAGCTGAGAAAGAAACGGATTAAACACAAATGTTGACAACAATGGTCCTGAAATCCCATGCTATCATTGTGGAAGACTTTTCTTGACATGGGCAGTCGTGCTAATCACACTCATCACCACGGGCTGTGAGTTTCATGCCTCCTCATAGAGCAATATAACACTATCGTCTGGAAAAACTGAAAGGTACCAATCATCTAAAACATGTACAATGATTGTTTACCTGTATGATTGGAAAACTGCACAGAGTTGATTGTGCTGACCTCATAGCCATGCAACTGAAAATATATGCATAAAGAATCAACAAATAATGCAAGACAGGTTTTTAACTTTTTACCACATCATGTGTTCACCATTTGCTACACTGGCAAAATTAATTATTTTGAACAAAAATAAAAAATAAAATGAATACAAAAGGCAAGAGGAACTTTCACTGTACTAAGAAATCAGTGAGAAAAAAAAACATGTGACAGAGATGAGTCAAATAGGGAGGACTTCCCATGTGGGTTCCAGCAGCCCATTTCTGAGAAAAAACAACAAGTCCTTATCCCATAACAAGCATGTCGTAAAAGGGTACTAATTAGAGGTTTGCTGAAATCAGATGTTTTGGGCCAACAGTCATAGATATCACAGCCTAGCTTAAACAACTACACAATCTGGCAACCCCCATTTTAAGGGCAAATGCAGAAGAAAAAGATGTGGGAAGGGCATGAAGAAAGATGCTGCACAAGATAGGAGGTGTTGGTGTAACATGGTCTAGGAGGGCAGGGCTATTCAACTAAGTTTACTCAGTAGCCAAAATTTTGAAAATGAGGATTGTCACAGGCCAGACGCTCTAGCTCCAGCATAGAAAGATCATTAAATGAATACAATTGGCAATGTTTCGCAGGCCACTCGCTAGTTATTCGCGTGCCATATTTGGCCAGTGGATCGCCAGTTGAATAGTCCTGGTTTAGCTTTGATTTTAGTGGAGGAGAAAAGACAGAAGATGAAAAAGAATCTCAAACTGTTCCGCACATTGGGGGAAAACCCAGATCCACTACCTCCCTTCCCCTGCCCCCCCCCCCCCCCATTTTTCCACACACACAAAAAGTAAATGGACCTTTTTCATGCCTTCAGGGGTATTGGAAATACAGTGCTTAACTTATATTTTACAGACCAATCGGCACTCTGTGGGTGATGCGATAAACACTATGCTTACTGCCTTTACATTCCCTGACTTTTCTTGTAAAAAATTTAAAGCTGTGTTGACCTAGGAGCCAAGGTCAATTCTGGATAATAAAAAAAAAGCATGCTATGTCCCTCCTCTCCCCAACAATAAAAGGGGAATTAGGGGTGTTTCCTTGAGAGGCGAGGATCCAACAGTTTGAACACAAGTAAAATAAAGAACCAGATCCATGCTTTGATGCATATAGGGCTAGCTCCATATTTCTGTAGACAAATGGACACTCGGGTGATATGCTAAATAATACCACCATGGCTGCTTTTACCTCAAGGAAAATTTGTCTAGGTGACCATTTCAGTTTTAGGCATTGGTCGACAGGGATTCCACGCCACTGGCAACAGAGCTAGTTGTTACACTACTATTAGTTTAAAACCTGTGGAGTTACTGTTTTAATTTTTATATAACTATGTAACAGCTATTTGGCTCTCTTAGTAACGTGTCGTACGTTACGGTTAAAGTAGACTACAGCTACAGATGTTGAATTCCTAAGGCTAACAGAATGTGCAAGGGCACAACAACACAAGATCTAAGATTCACTTCAACGGTAACATTTGTTAATTGTGTTGAGTAACACATTCTGGAACTCTAAAGTTAATAATTTAAAATGTTAATAATATACATTACTTCAATGATATTAACAAAACCCAGACGGTCAACACCCTTACCTGAAGAGGGAATGTTGCACTTTTGTTCCCGACATAACCAAACACAACAGTGCTTTGAATTGAAAGCACTCGTTTGTCCTTGTCAGCCATGCCTCTCACCGTATCTGTCCTGATTTCGAGGTGAATTAGAAGTAATATAAAGCCTTTAAACCGTTCTTCTACCAACAAACCGCCCAACAGTCGGACGAACTTTGTGCCGGCTCCAGATCGGGGACGACAGATTGTTGATATAAGCCAGGCACTGCCAGTGTTGCCACTTTTCTTTGATAGAAAACATTTAGAAATGGGTCCGAAAATATTTAGAAATATCTCAATTCACGTGGAAAACATCTAGATTATACATCTAAATGGGAACAGTCACAAATTACATAGCTTGGTATGACTTACCCTATAGAAACATGTCCTCGTTTTCATTGATGTCTGTCTCACAAGATCCACAGGATAAACTTATTTTGGATGATGAAGCTGAAACTTCAGATCCAAAATGACTCCGGCATGCTTTAGCTGTTCTAATTTCTTATAAAACACAATCAGGAAGCTGATAAGTTGAACAGCATTTTCATACTCTCTTCAGGCCGAATTTTATTGTCAAGATAGCATTTAAGAGGTCAAGTTTCCTTCTATTTCTAAGGTTAGATTAGATATAATTCATAGCACTGAAAACTCTTTCTACGTTAGCATTTCAATGGGGTAGTACCATGACAGATGTGGCACATTCAAAGAGCTTACAGAATGTACTGTTTAATGAGGCATCTTTAAATTGTCTCACTTCACTCGAATACGCTTCAGTTTCTGTTAGCATCACAGCTATAATTCACAACACAGTGAGGATACAGTTCAAACAAAGTTTTATGATTACGCACGCTCTTAATTAGTACCGTGGCTGCCAAATTGTTGAGCGTTGTCCCCAGAGTTTAAGTAAAGGCAGTTATCACAATTTACGTGCCCGGAACAAAAAAAAAATTAATAAATATTTTATATAGTAATTAATAAACTGACACCGAAAAAGATAAAAATTCTATAAAATATTTAAATCCAAATGAACAACATCTAGAATTACATCTACCATCTAGACGTAAAAAACACAATCTAGATGCAAGGAAAACATCTAGATCTGAATGTACAACATTCAAAATGGCAACATTGGGTGCTGCCTTGCACCAGGTCATTGCTAGCAGAAGTAGGAGTTTGTATATGTGTACGTAAAACGTAATTTATTTCCAGAACTAAAATCCACACGTAGAAGGGCAGAGAATGCCCATGCCATCTTTGAAGTTTTTATAAGGAGTAGAAAATTATAGGGAAGAGAAAAAGTTGGTAAGAAACAACAATTAGTTTATGTTAGCTTTACAAAATCGATCACAATAAACAAACAAAGGACGTTGCGGCGATTAGCCTTCATCAGCACATAAAGGACAACACAGTACACATACACAAATAGGCTCTAACTATGAAGTGACTACATAGGACTCTAATGTATAGAATACATGATACTCATCTAGTGTCCCTGGCGAAAAAACTTCGTTCAATGAAATGATGGTCAGCCTATATACCTCCAACGCGCAGGTAGGGGCAAAAAAAAGGGACGGGTTTGACGCCAACAGCGTACACTGAGTGTCTAAGGAGGGAGGGAGGGGTTGGCCTATAGGGCGTAACCGGGGTTGGGTTGTGCGGATGACATTAGTCCATCCGCATGGAATTAAAGTGGTGCCTGTGTTTGCAAACAAATATCGACAGACAGACAGACTGACTGACTGACTGACAGACAGACAGACAGACAGACAGACAGACAGACAGACAGACAGACAGACAGACAGACAGACAGACAGACAGACAGACAGACAGACAGACAGACAGACAGACAGACAGACAGACAGACAGACAGGATAGATTAGATAGATTAGATAGATTAGATAGATTAGAAAGATTAGATAGATAGATAGATAGATTATATAGATAGATAGATAGATAGATAGATAGATAGATAGATAGATAGATAGATAGATAGATAGATAGATAGATATAGATAGATAGATAGATAGATAGATAGATAGATAGATAGATAGATAGATAGATAGATAGATAGATAGATAGATAGATAGATAGATAGATAGATAGATAGATAGATAGATAGATAGATAGATAGATAGATAGATAGATAGATAGATAGATAGATAGATAGATAGATAGATAGATAGATAGATAGATAGATAGATAGATAGATAGATAGATAGATAGATAGATAGATAGATAGATAGATAGATAGATAGATAGATAGATAGATAGATAGATAGATAGATAGATAGATAGATAGATAGATAGATAGATAGAGATAGATAGATAGATAGATAGATAGATAGATAGATAGATAGATAGATAGATAGATAGATAGATAGATAGATAGATAGATAGATAGATAGATAGATAGATAGATAGATAGATAGATAGATAGATAGATAGATAGATAGATAGATAGATAGATAGATAGATAGATAGATAGATAGATAGATAGATAGATGCTTCTCTCTTACTGTCAGCTATCAAATAGAGACAGTAAGGATGCTTGTTATACAAAAGTAGTCAGTCGAGCCCGAGAGTAAGACTGGTAACAACCAGAGTGTGAGGGAGCGATGAAGGGGTAGATGGGAAAACACCATGTGTGGATGGTGGTGTGGATAGGCGAGTGTGTCCTGGATAGATGGGTGGGTAGATGAATGGATGGAATGATGGATGACTGCATTAGTGGATGAATGGAATGGTAGATGGATGGATTGGTGGGTAGATGAATGGATGGAATGATGGATGACTGTATTAGTGGATGAATGGAATGGTAGATGGATGGATGGGTGGGTAGATGAATGGATGAAATGATGGATGACTGTATTAGTGGATGAATGGAATCGTAGATGGATGGATGGGTGGGTAGTTGAATGGAATGAATGATGGATGACTGTATTAGTGGATGAATGGAATGGTAGATGGATGGAATGGTAGATGGATGGATGGGTGGGTAGATGAATGGATGGAATGATGGATGACTGTATTAGTGGATGAATGGAATCGTAGATGGATAGATGGATCGACCAAATATGCGATGAGGTAAAAACATGAGTCTAGTAACACAGTGCTTCTCTCTTACTGTCCGCTATCAAATAGAGACAGTAAGGGTGATTTTTATACAAAGTATTGGTCGAGCCCATGTGCAAGGCTGGTAACAGCCAGAATGGAAGGAAGCGGTGAAAAATAGCATTGAGTGGATGGTGAGATAAATGGTGTGGGTAGATAAATGGGCGGGACGATGGTTACGTTCGTATATAGATGCAATGGTAGATGGATGGATGGATCTGCTTATATGTATGCTGATATATTAAAACAGGGTTGTTGCTTGTTTTAGTATTCAGAAGCCATGAGTTGTTAATCCTTAGTCTCGGTATTATGGATATCGCAACCCTTCGGCCTTGATTCCATTTTAAATACTGTAAAACTAGGAGAAATGTGGCTTATATGCCTACCCCCGGAAGTGAACCCGGACCACAAGGAGTTCGTCACCCGCTCACCGCGCAATCCGGTTTAGCCAACTACGCTAGAGAGCCGGGGATTTAAACAGGTCCAAACAATGGTCTCATACTGTGATGCTTCTCTCTTTCTGTCATCAAGCAAGTAAAGACAGTAAGGGTGATGTTATACAAAGTATCAATGGAGCCCACGCGCAACAACATCGTGTTGTCTGAGATACCTGCTGTGTAGGTAGCCGAGACTAGTGATGGATTGTACATCGGGTATGTGTGTAAAGAAACGTGGGAAAAGATGAATGGATGGACACATCGAATAATAGGCTGAGTGGATTGGGATGAATGAATGATATGATATATGGGTCGACGAGAGGATGGGTGGGTAGATGGAAGGATGTATGGATGGATGGGTAGAATGTATGTTAATCTGACATCGCGTGAACAAGGTTCTAGTCATGCAGTGCTTCTATCTGACTGTCAGATGTCACACAGAGACAGTAAGGATGATTGTTATACCCAATATCTGTCGAGTCAGAACTGCATACCCCCAGTGTGTACACATCATCTCTGAAGAAGTTTTCCCTTAAGACACAAACGAGGGGAATAATCAACTATTTCAGTAATGGAATAATAAATCCAACATGTTAGTGACACAATATTAGTAAAGATTGGCACTCCTTTGACTTGTTCCCCAAAATGGCGGCATGCCACATGTTGGCCATAAAATATCCAAAAATATCCGAACGACGGTGTTCCCGTAAATCTAAAATACGGACTGTCTGCCAAGGGACAAAAAAATCGCGGCAACACTAGGATTACGTGACAGTCACTATCAACATTGCACACGGTACTAGTAGCAGACGATAAATACCGACCATTGACACAAATTTCGAGCGTTTCTGCAGACGACGATACTAGCAGACGATATTATCGACTGTTGACCAATTTCGAGACATTACAGACGATGAAAGCGATTAGCAATACTGTGTTCTTCCGATTGGAGGATTTAGCAGCGGTAAATGTCAGACTTGTCGGCATTCGCCAAACGCGATTTAACTCATCGCCGAGAGTATCTAGGTGCCTGGGACTCACGAGTACAGTTATTGGAGGAAGTTGCAGGAGATGCGGTAGCTGCCACTCGTGAGTCCCAGCCATCTAGTTTAGCCCCCATCCACGCCGCGCGTAGCGGCGCGGGGTATACGCTCGGCGGTGAGGCACACTCGCAGAAGCAGGTCGGCAAGCACCGTATCGTCAGAGCATTTGTTTCGTTATCCGGAGCCGGCACATATATTTTTGATAGAACTAACCAGCATTCGGATATTTTTGGATATTTAATGGCAAGAAATTGGCCAATTTAGCTCTCTTTCAAACGCCATTATATTAAAGCCGCAATTTTGGGGAACAAGTCAAAGGAGCGCCAGATACAGTGTCTGCCGTGATCATAACCCAAATCAAAGCAATATATGAAACAATACAAACTACACACTGATCATTTGAATAATAACGTAATATTTAAACATAAAGTTACAGATATTTACTCTGATAACTCAATTAAGACTATATGTCATAATTATAAAT